CCAATAGAGTGAAGCAGAGCTGTGTGCTTGTTCCCATGCTTTTTATCATGATGTTTCCAGCGTTGTTGTCAGACACCTTCAACAAGGATGAAAATGGCATCAATGGCAGCTACCACACTGATGGTAAATTATTTCACTTGAAAAGGTTACAAGCCAAAACTAATGTGGAGGGAGAGTTGGTACATGATTTTTCTGTTTGCGGATTGTGTACTCCATGCAGCCTCTGAGTCTGAGATGCCACAAAGTATGGATCAATTCTCTGTTGCTTGTGCTAGTTTTGGCCTAACAATTAACCAAGAAAGCAGAGGTTCTACACCATCCATACATAGAACCATTGGTTACAGCAAATGGAGAAATTTTGAATGCTGTGGATAAGTTCACTTACCTTGGTAGTGCACTTTTCAGGGTTGCACACATAGGTGATGAAGTTGATGCGCACTTTGCCAGAGCTGGCTCAGTGTTTGGGAGGCTCTGAAGCAAAGTGTAGGAGGGAAGAGGTATTAGACTGACTACTAAACTGAAGGTCTACAGAGCTGTTGCACTGCCTTCATTGTGGCATGCCCGTGAAAACTGGACAGTCTATCAATACCATTCCAGGAAACTGAATCACTTCCATTTGAATTGTCTTAGGAAAATTCTGAGGATCACCTGGCAGGATAAGGTACTGTACACTGAGGCCCTCTCTCAAGCTAAACCTCCTAGCATTCAAACTTTACTGCGGAGAGCACAACTCTGATGAGCTGGCCATGTTGTTCAATGTCAAACTTATATTTGCCTGAAAGATTATTTTATGGAGAACTCACACAGGGCAAGTGCTCACATGGAGGTCAGAAGAAGCAATACAAGGACACTCTCAAGGTCTCTCTGAAGAACTTTGGAATTGAATGTGTGACATGGGAGACACTGGCACAGGACTGCCCAGCATGGCATGCCCACATCAGAAAAGGTGCTCTATGAGCAAAGCAGAATTGAGGTAGTTCAAGAGAAATGCAAGACACCCAAACTTAGAGAATCCGCCCCAAAGGGGTTCACACGGACTATTTGTGCCCGACCTGTGGTAGAGCCTTCCAAGCTTATACTGATCTAATCAGCCACAGTCAGACACACTGTACCTTGACCTCCACGTAGGGACGTCATTTTGGTTCTCTTAGAGCATGAAGGACAGCAACCAACTGACATGCTTCATTATCCATCTTCTGAAATGGTGGTTGGTCATTGCACTGATCAGAGTTCTTAAATCTTTCCAAGTGGTTTTTCTTTACAATGTTGTGGTTGTATATATGGTCTTCCTAGTTCTGCTCACTTCACCCTGCATCAGTTCAAGTCTTTGAAGGATTCTCTGAAACTTCTCTTTCGTCATTTCATTATACACAATAACATTCCAAAACACATGCTGGCAGTCCTCAGCTTTGGAGGGGAGAGGAGGTAAATAAAAAACATGAATGATGACACATTGCACTTATGGCAACTAGGGGGTTAGGTTCCCATGACCACCGAAAAACCAAACAAACAAACCTGTAATCTTTTGCTAGAGATTACTGAAATACTATTTCTAACCCAGCTTAGCCCCCTACTCTCTAGACTAATATTCTGCTATGCTCCCTAGGTGGATACCTTCCCTTCACCCCTCTCCAGCTCCCTTTTATGTACTGTTTTCTGTAATTAGAATTTCAGTTCTTTGAATGTGCACTAACCTCTCACCCTAAACGCGCTCTGTCTTTTCTTTTGCTTCTATTTGTATTTCCAGCACTTAACACTGAGCCTGACATATACTAAGTGCTTAATAAATATTTTTTCTTAGCTATAGCACCTTGTAATCCCAGTATTTATTACAATCATATTGCAGTATGATTTATAGAGATTGTGTTTAGAATTTCTGCCTAAAAAAGAAACATTTATTTAAAATATCTGTGTCCTAATCTACTTTTATAAAGGTTGGTTCTCTGTGATAATAAGATACATTTACATAACGTTCTTGTTCAGAGGGTCCCATGAGGCTAGTACTATGGGTTGTGGCATAATTGAAATGCAGAACTTGAGTTTTAAAGGCAAACAATGAAGACATGTAACAAATGCTCAAGGAGCTCTTTATGACGCTCCAGTGTACAAGACCCGGGAAGCCCCAGTAGGATACCAACTGCTCCACAAACTTGTGCAAATCCCATTTTTTTCTCTCCTAAGCATAGCTTCGCATGTGTGGTTGCCAGCAAGAACATGAAAATGAGGTTACTTATAAGATCACGGGAATGTTTGAAGTTGTGAAAGTTAAATGCTCGAATATTAAGAATTGGCTGCACCATAATTCTTTCATCCATTCTGTGATGCATGAGTGCCCTTTGAAATTCTGGTTCTTTTCCACTACAAAAAGAGCTGCTACAATTCTTTTGTCTATGTGTGTCCTTTTCCTCTTTCTTTAATCTCTGCTGGGTCAAAGGATATGCACAGTTTTCGAGCATAATTTCAAATTACTTTCCAGAATGGTTAGACCAATTCACGGCTCTGCCAATAGTGCCTCAATGTGCTGATTTTCTCTAAGGGACTGGGTTTTGAAGAGCCTAAAATGCCAGACAGAGGAATTTACTCACTATCCTAGTGGTAATAAGGAACCATTGGAATTTACTGAGTAGGTGGTGACCTAGTTAGACCTGTACTTTATGATAACCACTTTGGCAGCTAATTGCAGAATAAATTGGAAATGGGAGAGATCTGAAGTAGGGAGCCCAATTAGTAAACTATTGTAATAGTTCAGGCCAGGAGCGATGAGGCCTCAACTAGGGTGGTGGCTGTGTGAGGGGAGGGAAGATACATGTGAGAGATGTGATGAAGGCAGAAAGTACTGGGGCATTGGATTGGGTTTGGGGGGTAAGAGTGAGAAGTCTTATTGTTTCCACCTTCACAGCATCTCTCATATAGGCACCTCTACTTCAACTAGGTTCAAAACAGAAGTCATTATCTTTCCTCTCAAAAACTCCCCTCTTCTGAAATTCCCTCTTACGTCCTTCTAGACACCCAAGTTCTAAATCTCGGGGTCATCCTCAATGCCTCTCTGTCACTCACTGAGGTCACAAGTCTAGAAAGGCAGAACAGAGCAATGGGTATAAATCACCGCCTTGCAGATTTAGGCTCAGTGTAAGGAGTAATTTCCAAGGTCGGCCCTTCTCTGCCCTCTATATCTCTCTGAGTCAGGTGCTGTTGACCAGGTTATTTTTCTAATACTCTCTCAAGTCTTGACTCAAAACAATATGTTTTATTCTGGGAATCTTTCTATCTATCCAGTTGCTTCTACAGAGTTTCCTTCACGGGTCTTGCCCTTTCCCCTTTTCTTTCTCCCCATGGGACTTTCTCAAGGATCTGTTCTTGGCCGTCTGCCCTTCTCCTTTAGACACTGCTGGGCAAACTCCCCCTCTGGTCAGTTCATTGACTCAGGCCTTGAAGTGGGGCTGGAGGAGGTCAACTGTCACCTTCCCACTTCCTATCAAGACAGCTTGAAACCACCCCACTCCCTTTTAGACACAACTGAAAGGACATTCCTGGGCATTAGTTATCCCACTTCCTTATCTCTCCTAACTGAGCTGGCACACAAACCATCCCAGGAAGCTATTTCTCACTCTAGACAGAGCACAAATGACACCTAAGTATGGCACTTCATCCCCTTTAGCTGATATTATTTCTTGAAGCACTCAGGGCAGAACCTGGTCCTCAGCCAAGCCAGAACTCACTAAACTGACCAGCTAGCTGTCTGTCATATCCACAGAGGTAGTGGCTGTCCATGGCAGCAATGATAACAGTGAATCACCCAGGGTCACACAGCTAGCTAGTAGGTACCTGAGGTAGGATTTGAACTCAGGTCTTCCTGATTCCAGATCTAGTGCATTCTCCACTTAGCCTCAAGTGAATTAGGTCAGACCTAAGGCAGATTTCTTGAGTTCAGGGGTACCATACTCTGGAACAGATAATTCAGTGAAACAGGATGTTTTCCATGTTATAGAATCCTAGTATTTCTAGCAGGAAGGAGTCTTGGAGATCATTCAGTTCAGCCTCATCGTTTTACAGATGAGGAAATGGAGGCCCACAGAGGTTAAGTGGTTCACTCACAGTCACAGAGGTGGCATCCATCTTCTTCCCTCCTCTCACGCATGGCCACCACCCTAGTCCAGATCCTCACGACCTCTCATTTAGACTACCATAACTACCTTTAATCAGTCTCTACCTCTTCTGTTCCAAATTAATAATTAATCATGCAAAATAATAATTAATTAATCCTTTAAAATTAATGATTACTATTCAGATTCAAGTGGATAATTAATTCATTAATAATTCAATAATTAGTCATTCCAAATTATCTTGAATAATCAAAATAATCTTAAGGCACAAGCCAACCATAGCACTCCCTGGATCAAAAACTTTCAGGGGCTCCCTATTGCCTTTCAGAATTGCCCACAGATTTCTCAGTCTGATAATTAAGGCCTCCCACAGTGTGGATCTACTTTACTTTCCCGGTCTTATTTCTCCTCACTCTCCTTCACGCTCTCCATGTTCTACCCAAACTGGACAACTAGAGTCTCCCAGAATTCAACATTCCATCTCTGGGTTGTGCACTGTCACCAGCCATTCCTTCATTTTGACTTTTTATAATCTTTATCTCCCACTCAAAGAACCACCTCTTCACATGAAGCCTTCTCTGCTGCCCTCCTCACATCGTCAGTATGTTTGATGTGTTCCTTCCATTTAATGTAAGCTCCTTGAATACTTTGCTTCTGGCTTTGTAGCCCCAGAGAAGCTCAAAGAGCACCCTATGCACTGCCCTGTTTATTGAATTGAATTCTATTAAGGCAGTAGAGCTGGAGTTTTGAACTTCAGTTCTCCCACTCTGAGTCTCTACTTGTCCCCCAAGGATGATTTTTGCCACAGAACTGCCCAGAGGCAGAGGACTGGACCCAATGACCCTGGGGGCCACCTTCCATCTTGAAGATTCTATGATTCTATGACATGGACAAGGAGACTGGAGTGGAGAGATGAGGGTCTCTCCCTACTGGAGTCGGAGAGGAGGGCAGAGTCACCTACCTCCCAAGCAACAGAGTGAGAGGGAGCAAGGAAGCGAGGTCCCAGGGACTGGGTGGTGGGGAGGAAGACCTCATCTACTAGACAACTCTGTCCCCTCTTTTTCCATTAGAAGGACTGGGGGGAGAGGCGGGGATGGGGGGAAGGAAGAGGTTGGGAGAGTGGGATGGAGGTGAGGCTCTGGTATTCTCAACCCGAAGGACAAGGGCAGCTGGGGAGAGAGGAAGATTTGGGGTAGGGTGGGCAGCTGTTTTGAAGGAATGCCTAGCTCAAGGGAGCTGTAGGTAGGCTGTTGGTAAGAACACTGGATCTGGATTCAGAGAAACTGGATTTGAATCCTCCTTCTGCCCATGTTAAGTTACTTCCGTTCTCTGGGCCTCTGTTTCCCCATCTGTAAAGTGGGAGGGTTGAGCCAGTCCTGGTGATCTGTAAGGTCTCATTTAGCTCTAAAATCCTCAGGCCCTCTGAAGGCTTAGATAACCTCTTTCTTCTCAAAAGGCAGGAGTGAAAAATCATCATTAACCTAACTCTAGGGTGGGCACAAAGGAAGGAGAGTGGGTGTCCCAGACTTAAAATGTAGGGAGGTTGTGGCATTAAGGAGCAGAAGGCATTTGGCACCCAGGAGCATGAGAAGCCGGGAGATTGGGGGCAATCACTGGGCAAGGGATGCAGTAGGAAAGGAAACCAGTCCCTCCACGAGGTTGGGCCATAGGGTCTAGGCCACAGGGCAAAGGAAATGAGGGAACCCAGCTGCCAGAATGAGGTGGGAGCTCCTTTCCTTCTGAAGGCAGCATATTGGGACTGTCTGCACAGTCCAGGAAAGCTATAGGAAGGGGCAGAGGTACACATCACATGCTGTTGTAGAAAGGACATTGCAGGGTCCAGGGCTGAATCCCATCCCTGTCCCTGACCAGCTCTGTGTGTGTGTGTGTGTGTGTGTGTGTGTGTGTGTGTGTGTGTGTGTGTGTATACTGCGGACTTTGAAGCATGTTACTTCCCCCTCTGATCCTACTTCCTCACCCTGGGAAGTGGGATTAACACTCAAAGGAACATCAAACATTTATTAAGCACCTACTGTATGAAAATTACCAGGCTGAGATATCACTTCAGATAAGACAAGGTCCTTGCCTTCCAAAGGCTTAGAGTCTCCCTCACAGGGTTGCAAGTCACTTCCTCTGAGCCTCAATTTCCTCAAATCTCTATGAAATAGGGAGGGTAATGCTTGTGATACCTCTCTCACAGGGCCTTTGTGAGGAGAGCATTTAAAATGCTACCCAAAAAAAGTGAGCTATTCTTACGATTTGGATCTGGGGGTGGTGGGTGGGGGCAGGGAATGAGGTTTACTGGGAGGTGGGGAAAGGGATCTAGGACTGGGGGTGGGGAGGGTGGGGGGAGGTTGGAAAGACAAAGTCTGGGACTTTATCATTTTTCCTAGGGCTTTAAGAGGATTTCCTCCTACTCTCCTCCTGCTCCCTGGTGCGTGCTTCTCGCCTTGTCTGATGAAGAATTCTCTGCCTATACCTGGTTTGCAAATTCAGGGACTATGGCGGGTGAGGAGGGGGAGGCAGAGCTTCAGGGAGCAGAGAAAAGGGATTCTGGGAAGGAGGGTGGTTGGCCCAGGAAGGAAGGGACCTCAGTAATCCCAGCTCGGGCTCAGTACTCAAGTCCCACATCTTCCCACCCCACAGATAAACACTGAGGTTTATCCAGAACCAGTGGCCACTTGAGTGGCCCAGGGCCAGCCTTCCCCGGGAAAGAACGTTCTCACCGTTGGTTGGCTGTGAACCGATATCATGTCAGGATACAGCTCCAATCACCCAAGTAATTCACTCAACACCCCCTTCCCGGGTGGCTCCCACTACAATCCCAGCTCAAGTCCTTCTAATGGCTCCAAGTACAGCCCTCCCAAAGCCGTCAGCTGTCCTGGTCGTCCATACTGCTCCGTCTGCCCAAGCCGGAAGGAACATGTTGGCTCACCCAACAAGATGAACTCCAGGAAACTCCCCACGAGCCACTGCTGCAGCCCCAAGGCTGACGACCCTTCCGCCGACAACCCCGACTCGCCCACCAAACCAGCCTGCCGGGGCCGCCCTCACTGCATGCTCTGCATGGACCGCCCTACAAATCCCACCTTCTTGGACTGTCTCATTGAAGGCATAGATTACCTGGACCGCTCCCTGAATAAAGACACTTACCCAGGCCCAGACAGCAACTCCAAACTCCCTCCCACCAAACCAGCCCTAAAGGAAGTGGGTCAGAGCGGAGCCTCTAGCAAGGTGAACTTAGCCAGCAGCTCCTCTGAGACCAGCACAAATCAGAACACCAGCATCAACTCTCTGCAGTGCTTGAATGGGCGATCTGGCAACAAAAACAGCCTTGCCACCCCGTTGCCTTCCAAGTCAGGGACCCCCAACTTGCAGGATGATCCTTGGATGGGGGCAAGCATCCAGATCAGTCACATCCCCAAGATATGGGAGACCATTCAGGCAGGGTGGGCCGCCAAGCCTGACCCCAAGGCAGCCCTGTGGTGGTGACATTGGCTCCAGCTAGGAGATTCTCATTTTTTTCCCACAAAATAAAACATTGCTGAGCAGCACTTATGGGCTCTGTGTCGGACAGGAGGGCCAGGGTAGCTGGCAGACCACCGAGGGATCACTGGATAGGTCCCTGGCCTCTCAGCCTCTGCTTCCTAGATTTGGAGTCAGGAGACCTGTATTCAAATATTGGTGTGGTAACAAAGAAATCATAACTTCTGTAGGCCTGTTTCCTTAGAGCTGAGGACGTTAGAGGCCATTAGGTCCAACTCTTCCCACCCACCCCCATTTAGATGAAGAAACCGAGGCACAGAAGGAGTAAGTGACTTACTTGCCCAGGATCCGAAAATTAATAAGTATCTGAGACAGGATTTAAACCGAAGTCATTCTGACTCCTAGTCAAGTGTTATCTCATCCAAGTGTTATCTTACCTGGGGACCAGTAAGAATGGGAGACCAGGAAATGGGCTAACCTAATAGTGCCTGCCTCCCAGGCATGTGAGAATCAAGTGAGATAATGTCTGCCAAATTTGTAAAGTTTTTAGTCTACCCAACTCTTCATGATTCCGTTTGGGGTTTTCTTGGCAGAGATACTGGAATGGTCTGCCATTTCCTTCACCAGCTCATTTTACATATGGGGAAACTGAGGCAAGCAGGTTAAGTGACTTGCCCAGGGTCATACAGCTGGTAAGTGTCTGAGGCCAGATTTGACCTCAGGAAAGAGACACCTGGCAGTCTAGTCACCATGATACCTTGTTCCCTTTCCCTTCCAACACAACTAACTAGCTATGGGGAGAAAGGGAGGGGGCAAAGAAGAGATCTGTTCATTAAACAAATATTGATCTATTAAGCACCTACTGGGTATAGATATGGAAAGTTTAGATGACATATGACCAACACTCCAGGAAAATTAAGGATAACCTTTTTTTTTTTTTAGAAACAATCAAGGTTAAGTGACTTGCCCAGGGTCACATAGCTGGTATCTGAGACCAAATTTGAACTCAGGTCCATTGCACCACCTAGCTGCCCCTAAGAATGCTTCTATCTGAGGAAATCTCTGAAGGCTTGATGGAGAAGGTAGTGCCTGAGTTGGGCCTTGGAGGACTCTGAGAATGAATTGAGCAGGTGAAAGTCAGGAGAGAGGAAGGAAGATGTAAGCATGGGTTATGTGGTCTGTGCAAGCCAATCAATAAACATTAAGCACCTGCTATGTGCCAGACACTGTGCAAAGAGCTAGGGATACCAAGAAGGCAAAAGACAGTCCCTACCCTCAAGGAACTGACAAGTTGGGAGAGGGCAGACTGAAATGGGGAAGGGCTGGACGTTTAGGGTGCTGAAAGGTGGAGAATTTGAAGGGGAAGGAGGCACTGCAGAGAAACATGGGAACCTGCGGCCTCGAGGCCCCATGTGGCCCTCTAGGTCCTCAAGTGTGGCCCAGGGATGTCTGGAGGCCTCAACCTTTGAATCTGGGCTCCAGGTGCTAATTACATGCTGCGTTGGACAAGCTCTCTGTCCTTCAATCTGCCCCTTCGTAAAAAGGGCTTAATCATCCTATCTCACCCTGCCTCTCAAGGTTCTCGGGAGGAAGTCACTTAAACTCAAGGCAATGTAGGAATATGGGGGATTATTAGGAGAGAGGGCTGGAAGGGCAGAAAGGCATATAGGAGCCAGATTTAGAGGGCCAAGCCAAGGTGGTCTTCCTTGGGCCTCCCTTCTCTGGAGCTTTCTGGAGGCCACAGGGGACGTTTCTGATGCTCCCTGCCTGACAGTGCCCTTTTTTTCCCTTTGCATTGCCCTGAACTTTAGACCCAATCCCTTGCTGTTGTTGCTGCCTCTCCCCCTCCCCCTTCCTCCCTCTTTTCTCTTCCCTTTTGATCTCCCTGGTAATGAGAAAGAAGGGGAGAGAAGAACAGTTCAGGTGGAATGTGCCTGACCCCAGTGGAGAAGCCTGAGGCCCCTGGATTTGCAGTCACAGGGCTCTAGCCTGAAAGGACTGGAAGATGAAGTTGGTAAGAGGGACTGAGGGGCCTGTGGTATTCCAAGGTGCCTGGAACCCTGGGCTTCCCAGGGTTGTTGTCTGACAGACTATCCCTGGGGACAAGAGCTCATACTCACTGAAATTATTCATGTTTTTGTGCTTCTTTTTGTAGGGTTTTTTTTGAAGGGGGGGCATTGAGGTATGAAGAACTTGGAGTCAGATTTGGATTTGGACCTGGGTTTGAAACTCAACTCTGACATAGTCTGTAGCCAATGTGATGATGGACAAATCATTTAATTTCTCTAAGCCTTAGTTCTTCAATCTGTAAAGTGGAGGAAGAATCATTCTTGCACCACTATTATAAGAATCTAGTAAAATGATCTATGGGAAAGTAGTTCCATTCCTGAACTCTCTAGTCAGGGGTAATCCCAAAGCACAAGTCCTTCCCTCCTTCATGCCTACTCCACGGGAAGTGCCCTGGCCCAGCAGATCATTCTGCTGATCACCCCATTAGACAGAAGTGTTGGCTCACTATTATTAAGGGATATATACGGATGAACTGTCCTAGGAGAAGACACAGTTATGGCTAAGGAGCTAAGCTAGCTTCCCTAGGGACTGAACCTGTAACCTCTGGCACTGGGCAGAGGCTCCACTCCCTTGACATCCGTGCCGGCAGTTTTGTGGCCACCAGCCATGCCAAGGGTGTGGTAGAGTTCGGAGCAGAGGAAAGCATAGATATTTGCCAAAGGAAGTCAGTGGGGGAGACTTGTAGAAGGAAGATGAGGTGTGAGGTTGCAGGAAAACACCATCCAGGAATTATCTCATGTGTGATGGGATTTAGAGTTGGAAGGGGCTTTGTTCAGTCATGACCTCATATGGGGTTTTCTTGGCAGAGATACTGGAGTGCTTTGCCATTTCCTTCTCCAGCTCATTTTACAGATGAGGAAACTGAGGTAAGCAGAGGTTAAGTGACTTGCCCAGGGTCACACAGCTAGTAAGTGTCTGAGGCTGGATTTGAACTCAGGTCTTCCTGACTCCAGACCCAGTGCTCTATCAACCATGCCAACCTGCTCAACTCTGATTATGATGACAAACGGGAGCCTCTCCCCCATCATAATAATAACTTGCATTTCTATAACATGTTAAGCTCTTCTTTTATCCTAACATCCCTGTGTGGAGGGTAGTATGCATATTGGCATAATCATTTCACAGATGAGGAAATGGGCTCCAGTAGCCTATTTAGGCTTGCCCAAGGTCATATAGCTAGTGAGCATTGGATATGGGGGTCTCCTGACTCCACATTTGGTATTCTTTCTATACATTTGTGGAATGTTTGGTGTCCTCGATGCTGCAGAGACAGTCAGTCTGGGTGTGTGTGTGTGTGTGTGTGTGTGTGTGTGTGTGTGTGTGAGTGAAAGGGGAGTATGTCAGTTTAGAAAGGAACTCTCCAGGGTCCATTTTCCTGGCACAGACCCCACAGGAAGTCCCCTATTCAGCCCCTATGAGCGAAACACACACACAGGGATAGCAGCAGTAACAGGAAGACGTTGGAGAAATGCTGGTGAACAATAGTCCAGGCATGTGGTCTGTTTGTATTTGTAGAAGAAAGCCAGGTGTCAGTCTAATCTGAGCTCTGGAAAAATCATGTAATTATAAAAATCTCATAAGCATGTTACTGCCTTCAGGGACCTCCTGTGTCCCCAGACATCGAAAAGGGACCAAACATGGGTATTGGGATGTCTTCCACCAGTCCCACTAGCCAGTCAAGACTATCCTCTTTAAAACAAAACGAAATAAATAACAACAATAAAATCAATAAATAAGCAATAACAACCAAAAACTGCTCTATCAGTCCAGGTAGAGGCTACACATTTCCCATCGTCCCCAGCCCCTGTCCCCAGTCTGACTTATATACGGCCTATAATGGCACTCAGCCACAAGCCATCCAAGGAAAAAGGCAGACATCAAATGTAGAATTTATAGTCAGTTCCCATCAGTCTTTTTAAAAATTTTTTTTGGTTGGTTGATCAGACTGCTGACAACTTGGTCACTCCCTGAGGTGGAACCACAATCATGGAGCCAGGGTGGTTGAACTGTGGAGACAAGGCAGCAGCTGCTGGCAATAGCCATAAGGTGGGGCAGTGGTCCTCGGATTAGAGCTGGAAGAGCCCTGAAGACCACCTGAGTCCACCCTATCGTTTTTTTTTCCTTTTCTTTTTGGAGGCGATTGAGATTAAGTGACTTACCCAGGGTCACACAGCTAGTACGTGTCTGTGGTCAGATTCCAACTCAGGTCCTCCTGACTCCAGAGCTGGCACTATCCACTGTGCCACGTAGCAGCCCCTCACACTGTTAGTTTACAGATGAGGAGCCTGAGGCTCAGAATGATTAAGTGACTTGAAGGTCAGACAAGTAGTAAGTGACAAAAGAAAGATTCAAATTCAGGTCTTCAGACTCTAAATCAACATTTCAAGACAGGGAGAGATTAAGCTTCCCAGCCAGTGTTTCCTAAACTGTTCTTTATATTACAGCACAAAGTCCGATCTCCCCAACTGCTAATTCCCTTCTTTCCAAACCACTTTGTATTTAAGCGCTTTGTTTATACATGTACGCATTTATTAGCATTATGTTGTGCATTTTATGCATTTATATTTTAAGATATAATTATTAAATTATGTAAATAATTTAATAATTTTCTATATTTCTATTTATGCTGGTTTTTTGTTTTTATACTAATTTATTTATATTTACTTGTTGACTCCCTCATTAGAATGTAAACTCAATTTGAGTAGAGATTGTTTCATTTTTTTCGTCCTGTATTCCCAGTGCCTTTCATGGTGCCTAGCACACAACAGATGCTTAATACACAGTTGTTGATTGATTGTTTGCCATTCTACATCTGAACACCTTGACAAGAGGGAAAGCAACAGAGCCAGGTAGACCGCTTTGGAGAGACTGGTTACCTGGACATCCTTGTGTTATGCCCCTGGAAAAATTCTCATGCATCGGGTTGAGTTGTTAAGAGCCTGAGTCTTAAGCACACAGTATGACAGAAGGCTGGCCAGTAAATATTGTAAAC